TCGCGCGGCCTCGAAAGGCGCGAGAGAGGTGAGAAGCGGGGAAAAAACACCCCGCCTAACTCTCCATTTATTTATTCTCATGGCAGGTGTCTTACTTCACCTCGCTGTCCAGACAGGAGGAGTTTGAACAGAATGCCAAGGCGGTCATCCCGCTGTTTTCCATAACGTACTTCCTGACGATAACCTTTTCGATTGTCTCTTGCCTCAGGTAAAAATCCTCTAAGCTCCAGGCCTCTGTGTAACAGCCCCCCAGCTCCTGTACCTTAAATCCACCCTAAATTAGTTCCTGTCCCGGTCGAGGGGTTTCCCAACCCCTCCAAGGGGTTGGTCGAGGGGTTTCCCAACCCCAACCAAGTGCGGTTGCTTGCTCTTTACCTTCTGCTTGTGCTCCCTGTCTGCTGGCATGGAGTTCGTGCCTGGGTTCAAGAACTGAACACATATTTGAGCTGAAGCTGAGCTGCACATCAAAGACAAGTATTTGGTGTGTACCATTCTCTTCAGAGGTGCACAGCTTGGGCACGGGTGTCTGTTAGCGTGTTCTCTGAAAACATCAGGCCTTTGTGGAGTTCTGCTTTCACCCCTTGTAGCTAAGAGTAGGTTTTGCATGTGTTGGAGCTATTTAAATAACTGAAACCTATGCTGTTATCTTTTGAAGAGCTCTGAGATGCTGTAGCTTCAGCACTGAAAAATACTGCTCAAAAGTAAACATCTTACTTGGGAAACCAACTCAGCATAGATGCTAGGAAAGGGGGCTGTATCACCAAAATTGTGGTCCAGCACATACAGTGACGTTACTCTCTACAAGCTTTCTGGCTTATTGAGCAAAAACTTCACAGCTCAACTTGGCGTGTATAGTGGAAGCGTTCACAGCTTCCAGGAAATATGGATAAAAATGAATCAGAAAAGCCCTTACCTTCACAGCTCAACTCGGCGTGTATAGTGGAAGCGTTCACAGGAAATACGGATAAAAATGAATCAGAAAAGCCCTTATTTTCAGGAAGAAAAAGAATAAATTGTGTTATTTCTAAAGTTATTTTACATCTTTCCTTGCTCCACTTGTAGTGTCTATTTTCACGATGCCCACTGAATGTTAATTCTGTTTAAAGATCAGTTATAAAGGGAAAGGAAGTGGAGGAGGCAGCAGGAAATAAACCATGATAAGTTCTGCTTGCACCTTTCTTTCAACTACCCAGTCCCTTAAGATATAGATTAATCAACACTAACTCTGTGAATTTCAGTACAACTTTAGGCTTACTATAGCAGACACTGAGCCTTGCCCACTGCCTGCAGAAAGCTTGTTCATTTTCTGTGCTGGTGGAAGGTGAATCTTTGTACATTTGAAAGCTGAACTGCAGCATCTACACCCTGTGCTTGAGGAACTAAGCTCAGCTCAGAGGGTGGTAAGTACTACTTACTGGTGTAGTACTTCGATGCAGCATCTTGCTAATTAGCTATACAATTTTTGGATATAAAGCCAGCTCACTTGCAGTCATTTCCAAGGCAGTTTCTACCAGCACACATCCATCCATACCTCCTTGGACTTTCTCTCTACAGCATTAACAGAGCTCTCCAGAGTTGGGCAGCTGTGCTATGCAGAGATTAGTGAGTGATGGGAGGCTTCAACGCTTGTCAGTTCTAGCCTTACTGGCTTTTTAGGTATATGAAAGTCATTTTTTTATCTCCAAAAGATGCAACCAGAGGAGGATCTGGTAGAATTGGTGGAAGCTTATAAGGCTGTCATCTTGCCCTGAAAATGACAGGATCTCTCAAGTTAAGAAATGGCCAACAAATTGGAAAAATCTACTAATGAGACAGTTTCTTGCAATGCCAGTCTGTTAAGTGAAATGCTTGACATATAACTAAGATATTTCTTAAAATATTTGCAGACTGAGCTGTGTAAGAAATAATATCTGGCTTGCAAGCTGTGGAGTGGTTTCTGCCGGCTTGGCTGTGTTGAGCAGCTTCGGGCTGATGATGTACTGTGGGGTGCCCTTTGTCGTCACTGTGGCGAACGCACCGTTTCTCATTCTAGGTAAGTAAAAAATGTGGCAGACACAGATAGGAAGGAAAAAGCGGAGTTAACATGAGTGTGTTACCCCTCTGTGATAAGAGTACATATCATAGAGTGTTCATGCGAGGAGCAGATAGGAGTAGCTGGGGCTTCCTCTGCCCTTCCCCGTGCGGGGAGCCATCCAGCTCGGCACATGCGGCCTGGGAGGCTGCGGCCCTGCCCTGCTGCAGGGGCTGCAGTTCACAGAAATAATGTCCCCCGAAGTGCCACTGCTGCTGCAGAAAGGTGTACGTGAGGTGACTGGATAATAATGTTAGCGTTTCCAGCATTGTTTTAGTGTCACTGTTAATTTAGTCCCTCTAATGAACAATTTATTTTCTCCACTTTCCTCTGTATTATCACTTGCTGTTTTCTAAAGGCATATCTTAAGCATTAATTTATATAGGTAGCTCTGCATAAGTTCGTCTACCTAAAATACTCATTAACACTATTACTATGAGTCAATTTTCTGCAGTCAAAGTGGATTCAGAATTCTCCCCCAAATCACTTGTCCACTACTTTTTGCAGTACAGTGAGAATCCCGTCTCTGCTTTTTATTAGTTTCAAGGGACAGGACATGTGTACAAATTATAGTACATTAACCTTGACTTAATCCAGCACTTGCATTATGAGGTGAATTGCCATAAATCCTGGTATCATAAGAGTGCAATCCCTGGTTAGATACAGTTAGGTCTAGCTTAGATAGTTTAAGCACTGAGCAGAATTGTCTGTAATTTCAAACAGGAAGTTTTATCATCTTCTGATATGGAATTTGATCAGTATGATCATGAACTAAATTTCATTATGATATAAAATTAAAGTGATGCATCATTCTTAATATAAGGTCTCCTCAGAAACTAGATGTAGTTATTTAAATATCATAACATCACAGTTGCACAGGCTGCTTGATAGCCAAGGTGGAACTTCCAAAGTATCATTAGATAATATTGCCGCAAATAGTGTTTTTTATTATTATTAGTGGTATTTTTAATAATCTTAACCTAATCCTTTGTACTGTAAATTCATATGATGTTTTCTTGGTCTTAATTTCATGCTGAGGAAAGTAAATGGACCTCTTATGCTGTTAGAAACTGTAACTCTTCTTAGATGTCTCATGCAAATGTTATTTAGGATGTACTGTTTCCTGCACAAGTCAAATGCATTTTGTATTTGCTTTTTAATCGCTTACTGGGTACCCTGGTACATACCTGAGAAAGGGCTTAAAATAGTTTCTGTAGATCATTATTTATAAAGTGCCAAACTCTTCCTTGAATCGCTTACTGGGTACCAAGTCTGTAAACATAATAAAGACCCTGGTACATACCTGAGAAAAGGCTTAAAACAGTTTCTGTAGATCTTTATTTATAAAGTGCCAAACTCTTCCTTGGATTAAGATGACATTTGCATTAGAAGCATTACTTTAAAGTCTGCCTGCACTTACAGCAAAATTGGAGCTGCTTTATTTCTAAGGTCAGATGAAGTTTGCATTATGGGAATACACCAGCTATTACACTCAGCAGAATGCTATGCGGAATGCAATTTCTGGGAAAGGCTCAGGGAGGAGAGCCAAAAATAAAAGCACTTCCAGCCTTTTGTATCTGGACCAGCACCCGTCCACTTTCCTGCTGCTGCGTCCTTTGCATCTGGCACTGTTTACCTACCAGTCTGTGGTTTAGCTCTCCACTTCCTCTCCTTCCCTCCCTTCAGCTGTAGCTCTTCCTTTGTTACTGCAACTAACCGGTTATTCTCTTTTATATTTGCTCTTTCTTTTTCCCAAGTTTTCACCCAGCTGTCATTTGAAGTGTACTTTCTATTTTGTTGATTAAAGCATCAGTTAGTGCCTGTCCTGAACGCCTGTGACCTAGATGTCTTCCCAGTTTTACAAATAACCTGTCTTTGGGTACTTAATGGCAATCATTTGTGCATGCAGTGTGTACGGATTTCATCTGTTCTTTTATGCTCAGCTCTATTATCTCTGCCTGTTCTATACTGCTGTGATCTGTGTGTTATATTTGTACGATTAGTTTTCAGAGAAGAGACCTGTGATGCAGTAACATTGGCAAAATACTGCAAAATTTGTGATTAAAATCTTGACAGTTAGAAGAGTCGAGAGAAAATAACTGGGTCTTCCAGTTACAGTTTATGCTCTTTTACTCTTGTTTCATAGCAAAACCTTGAGTCTAGGACCCAGAGTCTTTCTCGCTTCCCAGGACATTGAGTAACATACGCTGGTACATCAATCTCAGTGTGAATGGATATAGGAAAGTTAAAAATAAGAATCCTGATGAAAGTAGGGGTCGAGAAATAGCAGAGGTATAAAAGTCTAACCTAGTTGCAGAAATCATGAATAAATGCTCTAAATATCTGGAAAACTGAGATAACTGGTTTGGCTGTCTACAAGAAACAGAATTTTATTGCCTAATTTGTAGCAGTGATGAAGACGATGCCAGGGATGGTCGGAGATGCTTCTAGCTTCAAGAATAGTCCATCATCAGAATAGTCCATGTGTTCTAATCTGTGTCTCTACGTGGCTGTGGGGCAGCACACACAAACCCTTGCCACAGAGGGACTAGGCGTGTGTTCAGTCTTCCAGTGAAATGGGGAGGGATCAACAATCCATCGGGTCATTCGGAGTTCCTGAAATGTAATAAACTCGGCTGTATACAAGGAGTCTATTTTCCTGTATCTGATAAACTTCCATCAGCACTAAAGCCCTGCTAGTGTCCTGGTTTCCTTAAAGTTCTTTGCTGACTTGAGTGCTTTTGTACTTTTGTTGATAACTAGTGGAAGCTGACGTGTCTAATGCTGTGTTATTTGTTTCTCCTCTTGCAGGAGTTGGTGTTGATGACATGTTCATCATGATCGCTTGCTGGGAGAAAAGTGTCAAGGAAGTAGAAAAATCAGACACTAAGGCCCGGATGGGTGAGACTTACACCGAGGCAGCGGTTTCTGTTACAATTACCACTCTCACAGATGTTCTAGCCTTCTTCATTGGCACCTGGACAGCTTTTCCATCTGTGAGATCATTTTGCCTTTACACGGGCACTGCTTTTATCTTCTGCTATGTATACACACTTACCTTTTTTGGGGCAATTCTTGTACTTAATCATAAAAGGGAGAAAAAAGACCGCCACTGGATAACTTGCATGCCTGTGAAAACAGATGAAAATAAGTCCCGCTTGTACAATGTATGTTGTATAGGCAACTGTTCCGGGGAGTCACCTGAGTCAGAACCAGAACATCCAATGAGCAAATTTTTTGAAAGATACTATGGTCCTTTCTTTACCAATAAATGGGTCAAGCTGCTTGTGGTATTGCTGTATGGAGCATACGTAGGGGGTAGTATTTATGGGTGTACTCAGATCAAGGAAGGCATAGACCTTCGAAATCTGGCTACTGACGACTCTTACGTTATTCAGTACTATAATGATGATGACAAATACTTCTCAGAATATGGACCCAGGGTCATGGTTGTCGTCAATGGAAGTGTAGAGTACTGGAATGAGTCTGTTCGAGCGGCCATTGAGAATTGCATGGAGAACTTGGAGGACATTTCCTATGTAGATAAGAACCTCTCAGAATCCTGGCTGGCAGTGTACACAAAAATTGCTCAAAGGGCTTCACTAAATATAAATAACAAAGATATTTTCATTACAAATTTATCTACGCTGTTCCGATTTTATCCAGATTTTGAGTGGGACATCAACAAGACTCAGGATAAAATCGAAGCTTCACGTTTCTTCATTCAAACTGTGAATGTCACCACAGCTGTTGATGAGAAAAATCTTTTAAACAAGCTGAGAGACACAGCAAAGCAGTGCAGCATTCCGTTAATGTTGTACCACCCAGCATTCATCTACTACGATCAGTACCTGGTCATAGTGCAGAACACCATGCAGAACGTGCTCATTGCTGCTGGGGCCATGCTCATTGTGTCTCTCCTGCTCATCCCCAACCCCTTCTGCTGCCTGTGGGTAACGTTTGCCATCGCTTCCGTTATCATTGGCGTGGCCGGTTTCATGACATTCTGGCATGTCAATCTAGATTCCATATCCATGATCAACCTTGTCATCTGTATAGGATTTTCGGTAGATTTTTCTGCTCATATTTCCTATGCCTTTGTTTCAAGTGAAAAGCCATCAGCAAATGAAAGGGCCATAGATGCTCTGTACATGTTAGGTTACCCGGTACTGCAAGGTGCGATTTCCACTATATTAGGAGTAGTTGTATTGGCTGCAGCAAGAGCATACATCTTCAGAACATTTTTCAAGATTATGTTTCTTGTTATTTTGTTTGGGGCTCTTCATGGTCTTGTTTTTATTCCAGTATTTTTAACCTTTTTTGGAAATTTTGGCAGATCACGCCCCAATCCAGTACCTGAAGAAAGCCTCAAGACAGAGACTAGGTTTGGGGATGATAAAGACTGTCCATAATTAAGTTAGTTAAATGTAAAATATTACATATTTAAGTTAGCGTGGTTAAACTAAAATGCAATAACCTTAAGAGAATATAAGACGTGAGAAGTAAGAGAACAGAGAAGACATAAAAGCCACGCAGCAAATAACAGAAGGTTAATTAAAACATACAGAAAGGATGGATTTGAAACTTTATTTCTGTCATTTCCTCATTTTTGTGCATCTGTCTGTGTAATCTTAATATTTTCAAGCATTTTGTGAATTGTTTACTGACTGAAACCAAGTTAAAATGAATGTGAACACTGGGTATTGTGCCAGCTCTATGTACTGTTACAGGTTTGTCAGGAAATGCACATGTAGGAAGGAGGAGCAATTCCTCTTCACTTGCATTTCCTGGCTATTTATTTTGGTGATGTAACTGAACCCCTTACTGGACCTAACACGAAGTTTCTGCAGGAGGCACAAACCTTGGGGTCTGTGCAAAGCTTAGCAAGCTCCCAAGGTCCCAGCTCCCTCAGACTGCAGCTATTCATAAGCCCTGCAGAGATTTTGCCTTCCCTAAGTGTCCCTTGTGCCCTCAGAGCCTGTGTAGACTCAGTCACTTATTTTGCATTTAAAATCCTTCTTTTCTTGCTGTTTTTGTTGTTAAGATTAAACAAGATGTTATTTTAACAAGTGTGTGCCGAGTTTCTTTTTGGCTGCGGTTTCCAAAAGTATAAACTGTAGAGGTAAATCTTTGACAGGGCAGGGACTAACCAGATAGATGCCACCTGTAGCCCTCACTGAGGAAAGAGGAACGATAAACCCCTAAATGCAGTTGTGTTCATCTGTGACAACCCTTTCCTGTGATGAGTCACAAGAGTAGAAAGCCAAGCGCTTTCACACGAGAAAATATATATATACCTATATATTTTTTTTTAACTTGTAGGAACGCTACACTGGGGCCAGACTCTTTTCAGTGGTGGCCAGTGATAGGACAAGAGGAAACGGCCGCAAACTGAAGCACCAAAAGTTCCACAGGAACTTAAGGAAAAATTTTTTCCTGTGAGGGTGACAGAGCCCTGGAACAGGCTGCCCAGAGAGGTTGTGGAGTCTCCTTCTCTGGAGATCTTCAAAACCCGCTTGGACGCAGTCCTGTGCCACGTGCTCTAGGTGACCCTGCGTGTGCAGGGGGGTTGGACTAGATGATCTCCAAAGGTCCCTACAAAGCTTAATGATTCTGTGATATAATTAGTTGCCAATCTAACATGCTACTTGCTAGAGATCAAATGAGCAGTGATAAGTAACGTTTGTGATTTTAGAAAAAGTTGAATTTGAAAAAATGTTGAATGTTTAAAAAAGTTGTGATTTTAGAAAAGGTGGGGAGGAGGTTCTAGGAATAATAAACCATTCAGTCCAGTTTGCAGCTGTGACTTGATTCTTCCATCTGTATTTTAAAGCAATTGCATGAGATCTGCCTAACCTGTAGACGGGGCAGAATACTGCTATTTGCCATCATTTATGAGCAAAATAGACCTGAAATTAAATCACTTTTTTAAAAATAGTAAGTTTTCAATACAAGTTAGAAATACTAATTTCACAGCAATGAATCAGGCTCTAGACATTAAACTTATTTTCAACTCAAAGCAATTAAGACAGATAAATGACAAAGCTCTACTTCCTTCTTTGAGGGTTATTTTAAGCAACCAGTACTAGAAAGCGTCTCTAAGCACATCCAGAGGAAGAGGGCAAGCTACCTATGATTCAATTGCTCTGTTTCTACAGCTTATTTAGTCTGCTGCTACCGAAACAAAAACACCCCACAAATAAATACCCTCCTGCCCTACCTCTATATATTCCTAGCATTAAGGCTAGCATAAAAAGATTCAGGCTTGAAAAGCCACTGTGAAGTTTAAGCTGAGCAAAGTTCTGACAGCTGCTTAGCAGCACCCAGAAGCAGCAGCCCTTAGCAGAAGCTGGCAGCTTTATCTTAAATTAAGGGCAGAATTAAAAGGTATATGTTTGAAAACGCCGAACCACAGAATAAAGCACAAGTTTGAAGTTCTTACTGTACCTACGTGCTGCAGGGGTTGTGACGAGCTCAGGATTTAACAAGCGAGCAGCCCATCCACGCACCTAGCTCTGCTCGGCTTCGGCCTCCGACGGACCCATCGTGGGCTCCGCGCTGGGTGCAAGCGGACGGGGTGGGAGCAGGGCCCATGGGGGCGACTCGTGAGGGAGAAGGCCATGACCTGCCTTGTGCTGCTCACAGCAGCTGCGAGGGGAAGCAACCCCTCGCTCACCAGAGCGTCGAAGGAACATGGAGCACCTCTGCTCACATGTATTTGACAAGGGGCAGCAGCTGCTAGGGGCAAGAGACACCTCATGAGACATGGGGATGCACACAAGGACATAAATGAAGACAGGTGAGGAGACAGGAGGATGCTCTAAAGCAGATACAAGGAAAACATGAAAAGGCACATGAAAAGGAAGAATTGGAGGAGACTTGTGGAAGGGGACATTGCGAGGACACAGCTGGAGATGCACCCTTGGGAAGAGGTGTAACCGCAGGGAGCCTTTGGGCAGCACACACTGGCATAGGGGCAGCCCCAGGAGGCTGCAGGCCCTGGCACGAGGAGTCAGAGCACCAAGAGGCAAAGACCAGCAGAAAGGAAACACTCCATGGGGTCCCCAACCTCCCGCTTCCCTCAGCCCTCATGGCCCCAGCCCTTCCATGAGGTGACCCACAAGGTGACACAGGGCAAAAACAAGGGACCCTGAGAGCAGAGAGGGGAAAGGAGATGTGTGAGCCTGAGAACAGTGAGGAGAGGTTGTTTCCAGACATGCTTGTTCCTCCTGTCCTTTATCTCCTCAATACCCAAGTCAGTAATCAAAAATTTAATGGGCGATGGATGGATTCAGTGGAATTCCCCAACTTGAGACAATTTTGCCTGCGGAGAGGCACTCGCCTCTCCCTAGATGAGGGAAATTTAGACTCCCAGATGTACCTGGGAACACCCCAAGTCACACCCAATGCTCAAAACAGACAAAATGAGTTTCTTCAGAACTCCTCCATTATCCACACAACCACCAAGGCATGAGCTGCACTCCAGCAACCCGGGCAGCAAGCAGGGAAGACACCGCTCCACACAGCAGCTCACCTAAAAACCCTCCTCCACCAGCCAATCAACTGACCAGTTTTCCAAAAGACTTGTAGAGAGCTGCTCTTTCCATAGAGCTAGAAGCTTTTTAAAGAGGAAAGATAGATTAGACTTCAAGGATCTGCCTCCAAAACACATTATTCAATAGTGATTTTAGTGACTTCAAAACTTAAATCCCCCCTTTTTTTTTAAATAAAAAAAATTACACTATTTAAGTAGAAAAAAAATTCCCATCCAACTCCCATTACTGAAGTAGCATTTGGAATAAAGGTCTGATTTTCTAGGAAGAAAGTTTCCTAGAAATCCATTTAGAAAAAAAAAAGTGCAATTTTGCTATAGTTCTTAAATTTATTTACAAGTTTAAATGTTTCATACACCTCAATTTACATAGTAGGGTACTTGGTATTACATTTTCAGCAATTAACAGGGAATAAAAGGAAAGCCAATATATGCATAATTAACTTTATTACTCAAAAACAGATGTCAAATATGCAGTATACGTCTGTTTCTCTTGGCATATTTTAAAATACATGTACAACTGTAACTAGTCAGCCTAGAAGTTTGGTATTCTGTTTTTTAACACTTGGAATTTCTCCCACACTGCAATGGGAGGCCGCTATGCTAAGCCAACAATGAAAAATAAGCATAAAGTTATTCTGGGTTTGAAAGAAAACACATGTGCTCTTACTAAAAAGTAGATAACGATCAAGTGTTACACTCAGAAAACTCTAAAAGTTATGTTAATTCTAGTTTTAAGTTTTTTAGCTACCAATATCGATTCACATTTATTGGCACCAGCCCAACTATTTTAACTCCCATCTACGTTAACTTTCAATAAAGGCCTCCCCTCTGCAACAGAGGTTTATAGTCCCAAGGATCTATCAATTAATTGCACAGAAAGATTACTATCAGTCAATGCTATTCCTGAAGGCCAGTTCCATGACATCTGAAGAATACTGGCATATATAATTGATAGCGATCACTTCTACTTGATTGGAAACTAGATTTGCTTTTGAAAGTTTTCTTATGAGTTTAGATTTCCAAAAAGTAACTATAAAGATTGAAAGAAAAGGGTTATTTCCCCACTTTTACTGAACAAGAGAAAAAGAGAAATGGAAACGTTACCTGAAACAACAAATGCTTGAAGCATTTTCTGAACTACTCTTTAGTGAGCAATATTGTGCTCTCTGAAGAAATCCTCTGTTGGGTTAAACACCCACAATAAAGTAGTTGTAAAAACTGAGCAGAACCTCCAGCTATAAAAGCACTGTTTTCAAGTCACACCCATTTACTGCAGTAATAAAAGTTGTGAGAATTGTCAGCAGCACGTCAGAGGTCACAGTTATTCTCCCTACCCTGCCATGGTTCTGTCCAAAACACATCCCAAAAAGTTTAGACATGTTTACTGTGGTGTTGCTCTTGCATTCAAATTTCTCTCCCAGCCACACGTGTGTGTATTTTAATGCCAAGCACTCAAAAGGACAATCACTGCTTTCATTTTTGTCCTTGTTTTTTTAAACCTGGAGCTCTCAAAAACTTCCTTTGAGACACACTCTGTGGCTGCTTCCTTTGTACAGATGTTTTGTTACGCTTCTAAATAAGAGCATATTTTAAAACTCATCTTTTTATCTTCAAACAGCACACAAACACTATTAGTTCGACTACACACTAGAGTTTTGCAAGTCAATACTTCAGCACTTATGGTGTTGTTACCCATAACACACTCTGCAGTAGCCAGCCTGGGGCACCGCTGCAAACGCACATAGAGCAGTGTGACCCAGGAAGCCGGGACAAAACACACCAGCATCCCTGCACTTTTCTTTCTTCTCAACTTCAGTACATTTGCCTAGATCCAAACATTGAATTCAACCCTGAGATTTACGTTTCTGAAAAAAAAAATCTTTTCTGGGAAGAGTAGAGGGAGAAGGAGGAAGCTGCTTTATTTTGTGTCTTAGTTTGAAGGGACAGAACAAATAGTTGAGGAACAGAAGCTGACAAGAGACTGCAGAGTAATCTTAAAGTGTCACTAATGCCATACACGCATCAGGTAGGGGAAAAAAAGCTATGCTGCATAGGACTACTGCATTGCTAGATGTACATTCTTCAAATTAGCAGTTACTGTATGAAGGATGTTATCATCTTATTTCTATTTTTTTCCCCTCTAGAACAATTTGGATTTCTTTGGCATCCAAAGTCTCGTATTTCAGTAAAGCTTCTGCTAAATTCTTGTGTTCTTTCGCATGAGTCTTCAAGATGCTCTTTGCACGCTCATATGAGTCCTAATATTAAAAAAAAAAGAGGGGGGGAATGATAAAGGTTCAAATTTAAAAATTGTCTCTATATAAATACACAAACATTTAAAATTCAGCTTTAAACCTCATAGCCAGCACAGCTCCCATCTGAAAGTTTTAAAATCTAGAAGTCATAAGTGTTCAAAAATATTTACAGTATTTGTAGCTTTATGCCACCTCTCCATTTTGCATAAGTAGGACTAAAAATATAAAAAATATTCAGGTTTGTCCCCACGTTCTGTAAGACTTGAAAAGAATGATTAGATCTGAAGTGTCTGTTTGACTGCTTACAGTTAAATATATTTGATTATATGTTGTAAATATTATAGCGTATCCAAGGCATGTTCCTCAGACTCTCAGACTGACATTTTTAAAAACTTACTGAGCTCTATAAAGACCACATATTGTTAGAAAACTGGAAGCTACTCAGTAAGTTTAACGTGCAACAACTACTAGTTGCACCGTAAGCTTCAACTTCAGTTTTTAATTCTACGCAGATAGTTCTTAGTCAACTAAGCAATTAGTTCAGAAAGAGCCACAGCAACTGTGCTGATGTTTCTGTGTTACTGGATACAGATAACGTGCAAGCCTGACCAACCTAACATGAACACATGTGTAAGCAAAATGAGCAGCACTGTCTATATTGAGATTGATATCTTACCCTTAAAAGCGTTCTCACTTCCTGTTCAATTGCAGACTGAGTTTCAGGGCTAACTTTCCCCGTATCAGTATAGGTCATAACACCAAGCTAAACAAAAACAAAGGTTATTTTTTTCTAGTCACTGTTACAACAAAACTTTAGAGCCTCAACAAATGCAAATAAACAAAAAGCATTATTCAAAGGCTTCCTGAAGTGCTTATGATGGCAAAAGCAAGACAAGACGCTTATACATCAACTGCACTATCCCTGCAGAGTTCTACTTCTTCAAGTTACAGAAGAGGCTCGATTCTGATCGTTGCCTTACAGAAGAGAAAAACAAAACCTCAAAAAACCCCAAAAAACAAACAACAAAAACAAACAAACAAAGCACAAAAACCCCCCCCACACAAACAAAAAAGTTCGCCCCCTGTCCATCCCCCCTCCAAAAATCAAGCAACTTACCACATACAAACAACCCATCACATAAACCACCAGACACTTAACAGATTTCTAAAGAAGTTGTTCTTTATAAGTCTACAAAATTTAGCATTTCCATCTTCCCCACCTAAAACCAGGAAAAGTCCATTCTCAATTCCAAAATATTTACTTTTCTTATGAAGATTTTCTGTAGACCTTAGCGACTTCCAGGGTCATTCTGAGGTGAAGAATTTTTACAGTATTTTTTAAATTGCCAAATATACAGGTTTTCTTGTTGAGTTGTGTATAGCAGGGCCAAAAATAGTCATTAGACTTATCATCTCTTTTTTCCCCCCAGAACTTGATCTCTGTAAACACTGACAGCCAAATAGGCATTTAGTTGCAGAAGAGAAAAAGAAAATCCTTATACTATCTAGGTATTTAAGAACAGAGATACTACCTTTTCACTCATTCCAAATCTAGTCACCATCAGCTTCGCAATTCTAGTAGCATTGTCAAAATCACTGGAAGCACCTAGGTATTAAACAAGCTTAAATTAATTGCTAAAACCAAAGTTAAACAGACCTATCTTGGAAGCTCTGATCAGGAATTCTTTAGCTACTGATCAGCTGACCTGTTGTGATGTGGTCACTTCCAAATATGAGCTCTTCTGCTACTCTTCCTCCCATGCAGACATCCATCTGGGCAAGCAACTGGGATCTAGTCTCACTCCATCTGTCATTTTCTGGAAGCAAAGATACCTGTAAGATACAGACTTGTGGTCAGGTAACGATAAACGCAAGAAATACGTAAACTATATGAAAAATACCCCAACTTATATCCAAAGTGAATATAAAGCTTTTTATACAACAATTTGAACATCTAGGTCTTCCATCTTGCATATATATTCGGCGGTTTGGCTTGAGAGCTGCTTGGCTTACCAGATGAAATAGCTCCCTTCTAGACACAAACTAGAAACAAAAAAAGCAGCAATCCATCTAACACCAGAATCTTGCATTTAGGACCAGGAGAAAAACAACAACTAAAGAAACAAAACAAGCCCTACAGAAGCCTACTGTATCTACTTCTCCTTTCCCTATATATTTAATCGAGTACAAATCAATTTGCCTGGAAAATTCAGACCACTTTTTCTTTACTTGAACACATTAACTTGGGTAATATTCCACAGAAATAGGTATAACAGAGATAACTTTCTGTTCAAATGCTCAATATGTCTAAGACAGAATAGAAACCAAAACCAAAGTATCTGTTAGTACAGAGTAACAGGTAAGTTTTCAGAAAGAGTTGCACTAGACAGAGAACTACTTCATGAAGTTTGAGTTAAAGTGCATTTGAGCAGTACTGCTGCTTTCAAATCTTTTAGACATTCTTTGGAGTTTCATGCATGGATGATCTGTGAATTGCAGCAGAATACACACATATGTAGAACTCTTCCCTTGCATATTTGATTATTCATACCAGCAGTCTTCAAATGAAGAACGAGAGCTCTCTATTGACACAGAATAAAAGCGACCAAGAAGTTTTCCAAGAGATTGCTTGTAACTAATTACAACAAATTATAATACACATTATAAGCCATTTCAATAAACAGTGCTGTTAACAAATTTCTCAAAATCACCTAGCAGTAGCCCACTGAAGATTTTCAGAATTACTCACATGTCCAAGCGTTGTTCCTCGTGTCATGATTGTTGCCTTGTTGATTGGCATTGCATCCTTAGTGTAATAGGCAATGATGGCGTGTCCCGATTCATGGTAAGCTGTGATTGTTTTGTTCTTTTCATCAATTTCTACACTTCTACGTTCAGGACCTTAAAGGGAAGAATGTGAAATAAACTTGCTTTCACAACTTCACACAACAGTTCACACAAACTATACGTATACAAGCAGAGCATAACGTAGCCAAAGAACACTATGCAACCAAAATTAGCTAACACCCATGAAATGCTAAATATTTACAAGTAGGGTTTCAGTGTTTAGAATGGACCTAACTCTATAGTCAAGTTCCTTCTAAATGAATAGATTAAAGGGAAAAAAAAATCTCTTTCCTCTCTCAAGGAGGAATGAACCAGAAGTGCTTTCAGTGTGCATCTCTCAGGTGTTTGCTTTGCCTTACTATATGCCAAGCTAGGTAGACAGGAGTTCCAGACTTTGGGGCATCTATTCTTCCCTTCTGCCTTTAAAGATCAAGGGAGAAGAACATGATATCTATTCTACATCTTCTAGGCTTGAGGAGAGCATGCAGTGCTTCTGATAACAAGAACAAAGTTTTAACAAATAAACGACTCAACACTGCTCTGTATTAGATTTAACAGAGAACTCTGTGATCTCAAAATTTTCTATTCAAAATTAACAAGACTTAATACAAGACTTACTTGTTATATGAACAAAATCTATTCTTCTGTAGAAGTATGAATGTTGCAAAGTAATACAGTACTGCAAAATATATCAGCGGCTCATATAAAAAAAATCATACCCATCAGAATTTTGTCCTTGGAGAACTCCAGTTCTTTCATGGTTACCATATCCTTTCCATCAACAGCTGCCTTTAAGGCAGCTTGATTTACAAGATTCTCAAGTTCTGCCCCAGAAAATCCTACTGTGCCTCGCGCAATTATTTCTGGATCAACAGCTGTGGGGAAAAAAAAAAACAAAAAAAAAAAAAAAAAAAAAAAAGGGTGAATTAGAACCCCCATTTTTTAAAAAAAAAAAAAAAAAAAAGCTTGTGATATATCATGAATAAATATCAAGAAATTATCAAGTTACAAGCAAGACTGCTTCTACTAAATCTTCAGTAGAACAGCATCTACTGTTCTACTAAAAATAGTTATAGTAAAAATGAAAAATGTTAACCTTCACGAGTAATGAAGTTTGATAGTCAAGAGACACTAAGATCTTACAGAACTATCCCAGAATTAAATGCTATGAGATTTTTGTGTTTCTTTCTGCATCGTATGATTCCAGCCACTACTACCTTCCAAACAAAAGAGTGACAGACCAGCAGGCTGACCCAGTGAACAGACTGTTACATGAAAAGGTTAAGTATTTACTCACATGGATCATACTTTATTTTATTAAGATACCACTTCAAAATTTCTGTACGGCCTCTTACATCTGGCTTCGGAACAGTAACTTGCATGTCAAAGCGACCAGGACGTATTAAAGCACTAAGAGAGAAGACAATTTAATACAATAACTTTAAAATGCTGCTGTAAATTCTGTTAATAAACATATATGAATAAGATGATCAGAGTGATTTTTGTTAAAGACTTCTGTCACATAGATGCAAAGAATTTTTTTTCCAAATATTTGTATGTTAAAAGATAGCTCATTTATCACCAATTTTAAAAGGTTTTGCATTTGTAAGTAAGGTAAGCTACTACTATTAACCACTACTGAAATGCAAACAAGGAATGCAGCTTGCTAATTTAAGTATAAAAACTTGCAGAAGTTTTGGGCACTTATATAAACAGCTTGTTGCTTTAACAGTTGTAATTGAAAAACCTTTCCGATGCAAAGGAACTGGCCAGCATCCATCCTTTTCCAGAAAAAGCACCCCAGGTACAGCACTAATCCTTCAGGAATTACCATCAGCAAGTCTCTCATCCCTTCTCCCCTCCCCTCCACCATTTTCTTTTTTGGAATACATACTCTGCAGAATTGATTCATAGATTTAACTCACTTATCTAGTGCTTCAGGAAAGTTTGTTGCACCAATAATAACAACACCTTCATTGGGTTTAAAGCTGTAAGAAAGAAGAGTAAGAACATAATTAAATTCTCCTTGTAGAAAACGCAGTTTTAGTCACTCTTTTCTTTTCTCATTTGCAATGAAGACAACTTGTCAATTAAACAGGGCCTGCCAACCACCATGTTCAAACCATGAGCAGTCAAATTTAACCCAAAAATCAGTAAGAATATGCACAATGACACCCAAAGTTCAACCTCTTACTTCTTTAGAAAGCCTATAAAAAGAGAAATACTTTAACATAATCGCAGCTACTCTGCTGCTATAATTTATAGCCTCCTATATTCTTTAGACCAGGGTCATTTATGACACTAAATGCACTGCTGGAAAACAATTGAGAGACACTGTAGATTTATATATTTTAATCATTTTTCTTTTAGGTTTTCAAAAAATCAAAGCTGTCAGACAAGTCAGCCCATCCAATGTTCCATATACCACCCATTCAAGCACTTTTATAACCTCAAAATGTCTATACTTACCCATCCATTTCAGCAAGAAGTTGATTAATAGTCTGTCTTGAGTAAGGATGCATTGGAGATTCAATTCTCTTCCCACCAACAGAGTCCAACTCATCAATAAATATAACACAAGGTGCATTTGCTTTTGCTTCCCCTGACAGAGAAAAACAGACGAAGGACATTTGACCCACACAAAGTAACAGAATCTTAAATTAAACCATATAGTGTCTACTAGTTCAGAATTAAGAACTTATTTTCATAAATGCTTGCTATCTGAAAGTAATTGACACGACCAAGATCACACTGCTATGTGCATACTAGGTGCGATTCATCCCACACACACACACACATCTATGGCCAAGCCACTCATCTAACCCCTTTCTGCCACCACCAGGAAGAAACATGACTTTTTATAAAGTGCAAAGTATCTGCCACATCTCACCACAAAAAGTGCAAAGTATCTGCCACATCTCACATACCTTCCACGGGAAACCAGTCACACTTCTACAAACCCATACTACTTTCTACATTGTAGGTGCTTGACATTATCCATCTTCCATTTAAAGAAAGAAGTTTAGATTTTTCACCCTTTAGTAACTATTTGCATACTTAAAAGTGGAAAGCCTCTTCTGCTGTTAAACTAAACAGGCTTTGCTCCTACCAATTAATATATTATTTAAAGAGCTATATTCAGTGCCTACTGACAGCATCAAGAAAGAAAACTCAAATTAGTTGCAACAGACATTAATTTGGTTAAAGTCTTTTATATTAAAAGACTTTAAGAAAACAAACATTTAACTTACTGAATAAGCTTCGGATGCGACTAGCTCCTACACCAACAAACATTTCATCAAACTCTGACCCGGATGCATAGTAGAAGGGCACATCAGCTTCACCAGCCACAGCTCGTGCAAGAAGAGTTTTACCAGTACCAGGCGGCCCAACTAACAGAATACCTGAAAACAAAACCATAGACATAGTCACACAGGTGCACAGTCTTCTGGATCTTCCACATATTAAAAAAGGAATTTGTATTTGACTTCAAAACACCATTAACATTTCATTTCAGATATGCCCCATTATTTGCACTGCAAAGAGATGTCCTTAAGTAGATCAAGATGCTCTTCAATATATTTTAAAACAGCAGAAATAAAATCTGTAAGATTATTAAAACAAACAAACAAACAAACCAGAAGCCTAAACTATTCTCTGAAGTTACTGATGTGTTTAGCAGTTGAAATACTACAAGTATCCTCTTCATATCACGTTTACCTAGGTACCACAGTGTTAGACTACCTAAACATGGAAGTAGCTGTGATTTGTGAGAGAGAGAAGAAAGTCCTTGTTTGCAGTGTGATCTAGTATTTTATATCAGAACAGAATGGATTGATGGACAGAATGGATTAGATTACTAAGTATACGAGAAAAATCTCTTGACAATCATTTATATTTTTTAAACATTCAAAGGTTACCAATAAGAAGCAAAATGAAAACAAAAACACCACCACCACCACACTACTTGTCAGATAATTTACTTAAGTCTTAACAGGAATTACATTTCAAAAAGAACAGATTTTCGCTTTCTTCTTTTTCAAAATGCACCCTCAGAAGTGGTCTAGATTTGTAACTTTTCTAAAATAGACAGTAAAGCCCTTTCTGAAAGGGGATTTTTTATTCAAGTGTTCCAAATCATTGAAAAATGTAGAGAACTGACAACAAACAGACTTAACAGCTCTACACATTTCAGACTCACTTAGCTTCTTACTATGACCCTTAAATATAGGTTTTCTTATTTTTTTAATGAAAACACTTCTTCTGAACCAACCAAAACAGCTACCAAGCGTGAAGGGTACTGAACGCAGGGGAGGAGGAAGAAAGGCCTTTCAAGGAGAGTATTAAAACCACAATGAAATAATTACCACACCCAAACATGCACTCATGCATTCCACCCTGCCTTTCCAGATAAAGGATATCCACCACCACTGTCGTACATTATTTACAAGCTACTGAGGACCACTTTTCTAACTAATCTCCTAGCCCCAAACAAATTATTTTTTTTCAGAGATCCCACTATAAATTATTCATCCAACACAGAACAAGAGCACAAAAGCAGATATATATGTGATATATCCATTTTTCCTTTCTGTTGAGCAATGATCCTTACCTTTTGGAAGTTTGCCCCCTAGCACAGTAAATTTATGGGGGTTTTTCAAGAATTCTACAACCTCCTGCAATTCCTGTTTAGCTTCTTCAACCTGCAAATTAAAACACAAGCCAGAAAACATGACTAAGGCTTTGTAAAATCTTGCATCTTTTTTGAAGGTAAACTTTACAGTAGCATCCTGAATTTAACACAGCCTATTTCCTAAAATAGTTTATAGCAAACAGTAAACACTAAAGAATGGAGAAAAAAAATAGAAAAAGAGTGGTACAAACCTAACAGGTCTCCCAGGGATCAGTATTGTATTAGCCTTCTGCATCACTGAGTAAAAATGTAACTACCCTTTCTGACTATGTTTTTCTCTCTAACTTGCTTTGTGCATTTGTTCTGTATTCTAGTAAGCTAGAGACTATACCTCAGAGGAAGGCTTGTATACAATTCTGCTTAAAGAACACCTAACAGTTTCAGGGCAGGAGGAGGAAGGAGAATTAACACAGTGACTCAAGACTGCACTGCTTCTCTGCAGCAAAAGATTGGGAAATGCTATTACTGATGCTCATTTCTCCATTCATTTCAATTTTAAGGTCTTAGGCTTATCAAAACACAAGGAGAATTTTTAAAAGAAAATATCTGATAGAAAAATGTAATGTAACAGAATAAGACACTCTTCAGGCTCATGATGATTAGTCAAGCAAGAATTCACAAACTTTAGAACTTACCCCCTTTACATGTTCAAAGGTGACATTTTTCAGCTGAATTGGATCAACTGCTGCATCAAAAGTGCTTGATGTTCGAAAACGTACTATAAGGAAACAGCAAAAGAGGAAGAACAAAATTACACATTAAGTAATTTCATTCCAAGGTAACATTTTGCACATCCAAGTACACACAGTTGAACCAATATTTTCACACCTGCCATTCTAAAAAGCAATATTTCAATTTACAAATTTCCAGCAAGAATAAGATCTATTTTATGTATTTATCTTATATTTTTAGTGACTCCAACAGTAAGAAATTTCTTCAGTCATTTGTAACAGAAAGCCCAGTATCCAAAGGTAGGTACATAAAGCCAGAAGTCCGCCCTCAACGTTTCCTTATTTGATCAGACTAGACCCTATCTTAACATGATATTGAAATGATACTGAAAAGCCTTCAGTCAATCTGGTATTTGCAACAAATTTCTTACGATGACAATTCGGCCATACAAGTATTGAGTGAGTATAAACTAGGTTATGGTTACAAATAAGATCAAACCATTTTCTAGGTGTCCCTGCTGGAGCAGGAGGGTTGGACTGGATGATCTCTAGAGGTCCCTTCCAACCTCAACCATTCTGACATTCTGCGATTTTGCTTACTGCTACTCTACGTAATACATCATTTCTATCACAAAACAAACACATAACCTGTGAACGACCCAACTTCTCTGCTTTTCTGTAACTGTCTTTGAAACATATTTTCCACAATAAAATAAAAAAATGTATATACTAACAGACAACCCTGTCTTCATAAACATTCTGTAGTACCATTGCTTGCTAGGCTGTAGCCAAGAGCAGTAAATAATTCTCCTGTTCCATTAGCACTTTGAAATACAACCCTATAAAAGTCACACTGCTGAAATACAGTCCATACCTGCTAAGCTTGCTGGAAGAAACAATGTGAAGAAGAGAGTAAAAAAGTTAACTAACCAGCATCAGAAAAGGAGCCTTTCCCAGGTAAAAATGAGGAATATACGGCAAGATAAAAACAAAGGATGAAGAGAAAGAAAGAAAGCAACCGTGACCTCCTTAAGGAATCTGTAAAAGAAAACAAAGAAATGTTTTAAAAGAGGCTGAAGAGGCTATTTTCAGAATGCAAAGACAAGATGATAAACTAAAATAACTTACCAAGTGTTTTTTGTAGGAATACCTGTGCTTTCAAGAAGCCTTCTGCAAAACCAGTTTTAAAAGCATCCTGATGTGCCTCTGGGATGTTTTTTGTTTTCATTAACATATCCAAGTTTTCAACATCAATTCTTCGCTTTCTCAGGATGAAACTCTAAAACATTTTGCAAAGCAGCATTAGCAGAGTTTTGATATGTAGTTAACTCATAAATCAAGCAGCATTAATCCAAGACGAGGGGAGGAAAAACAAAACAACACAGTTAAGGTTATACAAGATTACTTAGACAGGACTCAGTAGCTTGAATAAGAATCACAGCAGCTCTTCAGGGGCTTCTTAATTGTGGCTCTGAGCTGACCAGGTTCAGAGTCCTCCTGGATGCTGCAGGCAGCCACTTTAGTGTCCATGCTTTGTACTCCAGTTATGGAATGAAAATGCTGTCCAAAGAAAGCTCTGTGGCACAAGCCCAGGAGTAATTACCCTAAGCTTTCTGCTTCATGAAGTGAAGCTAGAATTATTTTCATATAGGACACGTCTTCAGAAGTACAGTAATCATGTATACCTAACATGCCCTACCAAAGTTAAGCACCACTACGTGGACCAACCTTGGTGCATCATCCATGCACTCAGGACTATACTTAAGGCCACAGATGAAACAGACCACAGATGCCTAGAGGAAGGGAAGTTGCAGAAGTTCAAAGCTAATTTATATGTAAACACAACACACTTTCATTAGCCTGACTTTTGTACAGACAATTAGAAAATAATCAGACTACCCAGATGAACGTTGTTTGGGTAACAAGCCTTGGCAAGTCTCTGCTTACTCTAATTCTCAATAGCTATGTACTATTTTAAAGGTTTACAAGGGAGTTCTTTAACTCAAAATATTGAGACTACGGATTTTGTATCTTAAAAACACATTAGCCTCAACTAAGTCAATTCTTATAGCCACTGATCACATACTGAAATGCTTAAAAAGAAGCACATTCTGATACGTTAAACTAGCTCTATTTCCGTTTAAATTAGTATTTTATTCATTTCCGAACTATTTTTAAAACAAAGTTACAGAGTATGAAGAATTTGATTTTTAAGAATGCTTATACTTCAGAACAACCACTAACCTTAAATATTCTTTATATTCATAACACACTAATCAAATCAGTGTATTAATGAGGAAAGCAAAACACTGTCATTGGCTCAACTTTTAGGCTTAAGAAATTTTTCACCTTAGTACAGAATATCCTTCATAAATTGTGTAGATGAATTTCAAAGAAAGCACAGGATTTATTCAGGCCAACTTCAAAGTTACTTTTATCATAATGTTAATACCTTCAGAAGCGAAGAAAGTGAATTTTTTGTTTCTGGGAACTGCTCAGATGTTGACTGCAGACGTCTTGCTCTGGATCTCAAAGTCTTAAAACCTCGGGATTGTATGTAAACTTAAAAAAAAAAATACTATTAGTGCATATACTCACACACACACAAAAAGCAACACTAAGATTTTAGACCTATTACATGAAAAAGACTCTTTATTGTGTTTTAATTAAACAATTGTCAACCTCCAACAAGTTGAGCTCATGTTTTTCCTCTACGTAGGTCAGAAGAGTAGGGGAAAACGAACAGAACTGCATACAGCAACTTGCATGCAAAAATAGAGCAAATTAACTGCAGTATTATAAATACATACTTAGGTGATCATGAACAATGCTTGTAATCTGTACTTGCAAGTTAACTGCTTACTGTCTCACAATATATTTTTCTCAAAGTTTCACTAAGTATTAATGAATTGTGAACTGTGGTTATTAACCAACCCTTTTACTATCTCGGGAACAGAAAAACACTTCTGAATTGAATCCAGGAATGCTTTCTAACAAATGCAAAACATTTGGAAGACCATCTAGAAAGACAGAAAAAAAAGTTCCTGTTTTTGAAGGCAAATTCTGGAAACTCAGCTACTAAAGTATCCTGAAGAGACCAAGAACATGACAGTTGTGCTATTAGCTTAGAAAATAACTACAGAAATGAGAGTGGTTACACAAAACAGGAGCTTACAAGTGCTATAGGTCTGCAGTCATATCTCAGTAATCTTGTATAATAAAAACAATCTCAGTGACAAGTCAGGAAAAGCAGGAATACTACAAAGTATAATTTTAAAAGCCACACACCAAACGAAGGAAGATTAAGATAACCACTAACACCAGTTAATCTTGCAATTTTAACCAAGCCGTTTCTTATCATAAAACAAGATTAGTTAAGAGACTTCTAGAGGTCATCCAGTCCAACCCTTGCTCAAAAAACGGACAACTTCAACATTAGATCTGGTAACACAAGGCCCTGCCCAACTCGGTTTTGAAAATTTCCAACAGAACTTCTGCAAGGAACCTACTCCAATGTTTAACCATTCTCAATGTGAAAATTCCACAACAGGAATTTTTCATGGTACAGCTAGTAATTTCTACCCAGGAGGTGCACAGGAAAAGGGTAAGAATATGATTTCAACAGCAGTTAGATCACCTGTTGCCTTCCCTTTTGCTAACTATGCAAAAACTCCCATTTCTTCAGCTTCACTGTGTACATTAAATATTCCAAAACCTTCATCCTTCTTAAAGGCCTATATACATTTATGGCTTTCTCCAATTTGTAAGTCTCTCTCCCCTAATTTTAAACAAGTCAAATATCTTAGAAAGATCACCTGGATCTGCAAAACAAAACAAAACAAAAAAATTCCCCCAGGAGGGAAAAAAAAAACAAAAAACAAAAAAACACCACACATACACACATAGTTATTCTAAAATAGAGTTTGTTGTTTCATACCTGGCCAACACCGCAGATCTGAAGACAAACTTTGGAGGGGATTGGGATGCTGTCTGTATAATAAAGATGAGCGTAAAGTACTAAAAACATCCACAAAACCTGTAAAGATAAAAATCAATTATAAACCTCCTATTTTAAACAGCAACATAACTTGAGGCAGGTTTTTTTACTTTATTATATTGAATATAAAAAAATTACTATGACCCGTCAGGCACCTATATTTAAATAAATGAACCACTACCAGTACGCGGCTGACTAGCTTCTTGCATTAAGCCATATTTGGTGCTTTTCAATGTACCTTTTTATTTATTTATTTATTTAATTAAAACTTCCAAACCGCAAGACAGGCAAAACCTTGAATTTGAAGCTCTACCTCTGTAGGAAACCCTACATTCCTGTACAAATCTGAGTAGCCCAGAGACATTCCTAAAACCATAGCACCAGCCTTCATTCCTTGAGTTCCAAATGCTGGAAATTGTAGATTAGTCATGACCATCTTTGGGGTTGCTTTGCACTGTGTTTAAAGTGTAAAAACATCTCTAGACTATATTGAATTTGCTTTATTGTTTAGCTCCAATAAAACAGAAACAACAAAAAAGAAGTAATGCATTAAAAAAAAAAAGCAGATACCATTTCAAGCATACTATAAATGACAGTCATCTTCTCTGCAGTCTGCCCTGCCTAGGAACTCATTTTATGACTCTCATAAAACAGGTATGAACTATTTAGGAACGATCTGAGATGCATGCTGGGAGTTGAGGTGGGGGGAAGGCCCAGATATCTTCTGAATGAACATGGATGAGAGTGTAAGTCACAAACGAGTCTTCTTATTTTGTATTTACACATTCTGATAAAGTTACTACGTAACTGAGGTACATCTAGAAAAGCAAAAAAAAAAAAAAAAAAAAAAAAAAAAATTTCTACTACATTTTTTTAAAGTTACATCATTGCAAAAACAGCTGCAATAACAGCCCACAAACTACCAACTGAAATACTGAGAAACTGCAGGAAGAAAAAAAAAGATTAGTTGCTAATTCCCTAGTAAGGTACATTGCAGAATCTTCTACAACGCTGCATACTGCAGGATTTAATACAAACTAATAATGAATACATCAGTAAAAAATACAAATACTCTCCTGATTTTATATAATTAGGCAATATAGAGTCACCTATACTCAAAGTAGATCCTTGAAGTTTTAGTATTTCCCTGGCCTGACAGCTTTCCACCTGCAGTCTTGCCTTTTCTCCAGTAGTAGGCCTCAGACATCATTCCTCTGCTTTCTCCCATCTGCTGTAAGTAGCATCTCAAAAGACAGTTATACACATGTTTTTCTCTAATGCCCTCTTGTGCATCTCTAGAGCGGCTCTGCTCCTTTTCTAAGGCTCCTTTCTTTACAAGGAGGGGCTATGCCTAAGCCTAGCCTCAACAAAGTTATCTCATACCGTAAGGAACTGTTCTTGGTTTATTTCAGTAACTTTACATGGGCTGTTAGTGGCTTGAAATTCCTTTTTAATGTCCTGATATAATGTTCAAACAAACGACGAATAACTTGGCAAATTTTTATTTGCATACCATGCTTATTTTCAAAGAAGGACTCTGCAGAGACGTAGGATGTATGCCACTGGGAGGAAACTTTCTTCTCGGTACAATAGCCAGGAAGCAGCCTGTTCACTAGTTCTTTGAACTGGTTAGGTTTAAAATCAGACAATCCCAGATCTCTTAAACTGAAGACAGGCTGCAAAACAGAAACATAAGAGTTCAAACCATATTTAAGATTACTTAGGGGGTAATCTTGACTGAAGTAATTTTAAACTTTTAAATAAAATAAAATAAAAAATAATACTAAAATAATAATACGTATTATATAATATAAATAATATGTAATACACAAGAAAAACTTTTTAAAAAATATTTTAATAGACATGTACAGTGTTGTGTTTTAAAATCAATTCATAAGTACACAAAATACTTCATTGTAAAGTCCCAGAAAATTGTTGATCGTCCAGTTGTTAAACAAAATAAGACCAGCCACATTTTTATCACCATTTGACTTTTATACATGCCTTAGAAAAGCAAATCAAACTTTCTTGCTTTAGCTCAGCAATTACTTAAGAGAATTACTGAAATAAATGCAAAGGGTGAAAAAATTCAAGAAACCCTGAAATGTTGTCCATGCCCTTTCAGAAGGGGATACTATATCCAAAAATGAAATGGGCTTAAGTTTAAATCACAAAGTATACAGCTTCAAGTTCTCAAAAAAAGTGATTTTTGCCATTCCACTGATTTAACACTCCAAATTGCATATCATGTTTAAGTATTTGTTGTTTTTAAAATCAGGCAACAATCCAGTCAACTTTAAATATTGTTAATAACTTTTTTTTAATTAGGAGAGACTTTATTAAAGGTTATTTTAATGATTTTATCATCCTAGAAGGAAGCAAACTGGCATACAAGGGAATATAGAGAAAAGACTAAGAGCAAAACAATCTCTCAATTTGAAAGACAACAGATTATCTCATCAAGTGGAACAACAAACAGAAGTGAATAATTGAAACATACTTTTAGTTCCATTCACCAGTCCAAGTCCCCTGCTGAAATTAAGTTTTATTGCCAGAAGCAAATACCTCTGTATTTATATGGAATCACAAAACAGAGATATTGCATCTATGGCATACAAGCACATATGGAAAGTTGTGGAGTTAAGAGACAGAATCCTTGTGACTCCAGGTTTTCTCCCAAACACTGTTAGTTATGATATTTGTTTTAAAAAGCTAATTGAAAGAGAAAGTAAATGACAAGATTTCATACTTATTTTGCACTTTCTGTATCTTGATTTTTCATTAAGAACAAACAACTGATGATGATGACAAAGATTTCTCATAGAAAAAAATCACAACACTCAAATATGTTACATCATCTATTCAAAAACAATTACATAATCTTAAGCAAGTTTTCTCACAATTCTAACTCTGTACTAAAGCTCAGTGAGTGAAAAGACAAAATCAGTTTTATGCAAACACACTTTTCTATTCTTCTAGTAGCAGACATAAATCTGAAAACAAAAGAAAATCCTTCCCTCCTTTGTAAATTACTGCAGAGAAAAATAGTATATTTTTACTTACTAATGAAATCCTGCATTTTAGTAGAACCCTTATTGCAAGAAGCATTGACTTACTTAGGTTTTATCTGTCAACATTGTTTTATTTGCTCACATCCTATTTTATTTAGCCAGTATTATTCTATAGAATGAGTCAAATATTAAATTTACTTAAATTCTTTTTAGATCTAGTTCAGAACTCTTTAGATCTAGTTCAGGTATAAGTAAGGCAGCACTTTTCCCAAAGTTCTTAGTACCTCACTGCTTTGAGGATCATGTTCTGGGGTGGTGTCCCTCTGGACAGGCTGTACAGAAGCTGCTTTGGCTGTTGTGGTGGAGCTTTTTGGTGAATGAAAGGCATTGATAAGGTGACTCAGGGGAACAGTAGCCTGGAAGGGGTTGGGGGAAAAAAAAAAAGTTTCATTAAAAAAATGCAAGTATATCGACATTCCAAATCTTGATTTATAATTACTTATCATGTACTCTGCACTTTATCCAGGATTTCATAACACCTATGAACTTAGCTTCTATACCCCAATGCTAGTTGATATGTGTACTTACAAAGAAAAGAAAGAGTACATATACATGACAAAGTAGGAACTCAGAAAACTTAGAAAAGGAGAAAAAAAAAACAGCTCTATTTCCTGTGTCTCAAACATGAGTGTACTTTAAATAAACTAATCAGTGTATACTCAAACTGGGAAGTGAGGTACAGAAGATCAGCATTTATTCAGTGTAAACACTGCCCTCAGTTTGTACAGCAGACAACGTTTAATTACAACAAGCTAACGTACAGCTTCTCACAGATGCTTCTTGCCTAAGAGCAAGAAAACATCACTAGTGCACTTATTTCCTTCAGGATATTTTATCTCTTTTTAAACCATGCTTGCTGTATTAGTTGGGTATGTGCTTCTACAGATGATAACAGAAATTGCTGAAGTCTGCTAGCACATTATAAATTTAAAATCAGCTCATGATGCAGATAAAATATAAAACTGCACAACTGAAGATATTTGTCTTTTACAGACCTCCCATTAAAGCCAAAAGGGTTTCTTGCCATCCAAACATTTTTCACCACACAGCCATAAAAGACACAAGTGAAAAAGAAGCACAATCAACACAAGGAAAAAGAAGTAGTAAGCTACTTTTATACTGAAAAGCCTACAAGCTGACACCATTTGTCAAAACGTTTAGAAGATGTTAATAATTAGTGTCATTCAGACACTCTTCTTTGAAGAAAAAAATGTTCAAAATAATCATGAGCCTGTCTTGCCATCTGCCAAAACAAAACTTCAGACATTAATCTGAAATATCATTACATGGTCAACTCTAGGTTATCCACACAGAGTTGCCCAAGCAAGAACAGATCAAGCAGGGAGCATCAAGCTTCTCTCCAACAAGAAGTTAAGTGGCTGCTTTTGAACAACAGGGAACCACAAGATTTTATCAAAGCCTTACTAACTACTACTAATTCAAGTACTAAATAATTTTCCAAGCATCTCATACAAATTGATACTTATGAAACTTAAAATAGATAAGTATTTCCTGTATTACACAGGTTACACCCAGAAGTTTCCTTTGTGTTTGCTTCCTCAGAATCCTATTTTAGTAAGTACCTAACTATTAAGTACAGTAAGAAGCACATGGTGCACATTCTGCAGTTCAGCAGCACTCGGTCATTTTTTTCAGTAAATTCCAACTCACGGATCAGTAAAAATCCAAGTGTACATGTCAGGACCCTTCCTGTAGCACATGACAAGGCTTATTGCAACACATGGCACAAATAATTTCAACAAATTCAAAGAAAGCCTCGGTGTTATTAAGCAAGAAGGAACTGGAATGCATCTTTTATTGCTGGAACAATTGTTTGCATTCCTTGGAAAACCTGACTAAATCCTTACTATAAAGGGTTAAAAACAAAACAAACAAAAAAAAACCCCAACAAACTATCTGTTGGGTTAGCTATTTATAATATCAAAAGCAAAAAAACAGTGTGACCTGAAAACTCAAAGGTAATTGCACAAGGCTATAATTAAACTCTGGAAGTTTGTGGTGAAACAAACTTGAGCTAGCACCCTAAACACTATGCAAACTTTCTTCTCCACATCCCGCTACGAAAAGGTGGGATGACGCCTCCTGGAAAACACTACACTGCACAGGCAAAACAAAACAATGCATTTGGAAAGAACAATTGAATCGCATCGTAGAACAGGATTAGGACACACTAACACACACAAAAAAAAAAAAAAAAGGGAAAAAAACAGTAGTTTGGATCAAGGCCCGTGTAACGTGCTAGTCCCACTCCATTCACTGGGCAACAAAAGATGCCTTCCAGGCCGCATCCGGATCGCTCTACGTAGCAAACAGCCAGATAACTTTTCCACCACTAACTTGCCTAATTCTACAGTCACTTCTGACCTTTCCAACAACACGTGACAGTTGCATAACTCTTTACCTGGAGGGAAAGGGGGAAAAGGGAGCAAACCGACATATTTTTGCTAGGAAAAAAAAATAAAAGGATTAAAAAGACTTCTGACTACCCCTTCCTTTCCGATTTTAGACGCTTTTCCTGTACCGTCTCCCTCCTCCACTGTTAGCGGTCTCCCCCGAAGTGGGAGCCCAAGGCACCGCGGCCGTTCCCGGGGGCGCCGCTCCCCGCAGCCACCCCCACCCGCGGCGCCCCCCGGCCCAGACCGCGGCGGCTCCTGCGCGCGGCGCCTCACCTG